GAGTTCATTTATACTGCAGGGCTGCTGAATGCTTCATTCTGATTGGTGGATGAGCATTCTAAGGTGTGTCGCTGTTTTCAGATAAATGCACAGCTAAAGTAGATCTGGCAGGTTCTGAGCAATTTAAGGTATAATAATGTATTTCTAATACAGTATTTATAACAAAATAATGCACAGTAAAGTAATTCTGGCAGGTTTTGAGCAATTTAAATTATATCAATGTACTTCTAATATAGTATGTCTAACATAATATATTAATACACAGCTAAAGTAGTTCCAGCAGGTTATGAGAAATTTAAATTATATTAATGTATATCTATAATATAATTTTTTAATATAGTATTTAAATGTATTATTGCACAGCTAAAGTAGTTCCGGCAGGTTTTGAGAAATTTAAATTATATTAATGTATATCTATAATATAATTTTTTAATATAGTATTTAAATGTATTATTGCACAGCTAAAGTAGTTCCGGCAGGTTTTGAGCTACTTAAATTATATAAATGTATATCAATAATATTATTTCTAATATAGTATTTAAATATATCAATGCACATCTAAGGTAGTTCCGGCAGGTTTTGAGAAATTTAAATAAGATCAATGTATTTTTAATATATTATTTCTAATATAGTATTTCAAACATAATATATTAATGCACAGCTAAAGTAGTTTAGGCAGATTTTGAGCGATTTAAATTATATGTAATGTAATGTATATCTATAGTATTTTTCTAATTTAGAATTTAAAAATATTAATGCACAGCTGAAGTAGTTCCGGCAGGTTTTGAGCAATTCAAATTAAAATAATGTATTTCTAATATAGTATTTCTAACATAATAATATATTAATGCACAGCTTAAGTAGTTCCAGCAGGTTATGAGAAATTTTAATTAGATCAATGTATTTCTAATATATTATTTCTTACATAGTATTTCAAACATAATATATTAATGCACAGCTAAAGTAGTTCCGGCAGGTTTTGAGCAACCTAAATTATATAAATGTATTTCTAATATATTATTTCAAACATAGTATTTTAATGTATTAATGCACAGCTAAAGTAGTTCAGACAGGTTTTGAGCATTTTTAATTATATTAATGTATATCTATAATATTTTTCTAATATAGTATTTAAAAATACTAATGCACAGCTAAAGTAGTTCAGACAGGTTTTGAGCATTTTTAATTATATTAATGTATATCTATAATATTTTTCTAATATAGTATTTAAAAATACTAATGCACAGCTAAAGTAGTTCCGGCAGGTTTTGAGCAATTTAAATTATAATAATGTATTTCTAATATAGTATTTCAAACATAATATATTATTGCAAAGCTAAAGTAGTGTCAGCAGGTTTTGAGAAATCTAAATTAGATCTATGTATTTTGAATATATTTTTTCTAATACAGTGTTTCTAATATATTAACGCAAAGCTAAAGTAGTGTCAGCAGGTTTTGAGAAATTTAGTTATATTCACGCATTTCTAATATATTATAAATAAAAAGCTGCTTCATGATAATGTATTTCACCGTTTTAGGCTAAAAATGTAATAAAATGGCATTAATAAAATTAATACAATTTAATAAATTAAATATAATTATAAATTATTAAAATGTGAAATGACAACATATATTCATAACATTAAAATAGATTTAAAATAATTAATTGATTAAATTCTTGTTATATCGCAGGTCTGTTGAATGCTTGATTCCTCTAATAACCTAGAGGACTTATTTTATTTCTTTGTTCCTACTTCCAAGTGGCCTGTAGCCTACGTTTGTTATGAATAAATTATGCTATAACACATATAAGCAACTCATTTGAATAATGTCGGGCTGTAAACGGGTTCGGGCTTTTAAAAAGCTGTCAATCGAATTGCACCGAATTCTGTCAGGCTCGGACCCTATCGGCCCTAACTTTTATGGCCCGATTACAGCTCTACTCAAAGGGTCTTTGGTTATTGTCAGATAAACGCACGCTTAAAGTAGTTCCAACAGATTTTGAGCGCATTACAGCTCCATATCACTCCGCTGAATCATTACAGAAGCTACAGCAGTCAAAAATCATATGTTGTCATGATTTTTTGATCATATAATTTTTCTATGCATTGAAAAAACTTGCCAAATTGGCTAAATTAATTTACCCTAACTAGTCTAATTAACCTAGTTAAGCCTTCAAATGTCACTTTAAGCTGATTACTAGTGTCTTAAAGAATATCTAGTCTAGTATTGTGTGCTGTCATTATAGCAAAGAGAAAATAAATCAGTTATCAGAGATGAGTTATTAACACTGTCATGTGTAGAAATGTGTTGAAGAAATCTGCTCTTGATTAAACAGAAACTAGTGGGAAAATATACAGGAGGGCAAAAAATTCAGACTTCAACTGTATATATGAATACAAATCTTTTTTACAGTGCATATTCAGTCGTTATGCTTCTCTAGTAAATCTTGATTTGGGAATGTTTAGATATTTGTGCACAAAAACAGAAAGAAAGAATGAATAATACACAGAGTTTTAGTTAATTGCGCTCCTGAAAATGAAATATACTGTGGCGTTCGTCGTCAGTGAGCCGGAGCAGAAGTGCTGAATGTTGAGCATTAAAACACTCGTAAAACCGCAGCGCTTCTACGTCACTGATTTTCCACAGCGTCCGTCTGCGCTGTTTAATATCTGCTTTCAGAAATGATAAAACCTCATACTGTCCAGAGACATCCTCATATCTCACATTAAAGTCTTCAAATAAATCTGCATTTAGTGCTAAACTGACAGCGGAAGAAAACAGAACACTGTGTGAAGCTGAGAGATGTGCAGCTACAACAGCAACACTAAATCTGACAAATCTGACATTAACATCAGATTTTACTTATATTTTTAATTTATAATCTTTAATCTTTTTATTAATTTATTTTTTATATTAATTTTTTTGGATTTTTAATTTTCTTTTTTTCTTATTTAGCTGGGTTTGTGTTAATAGTTTTGGTTTTTTAAAGATGTCTACATAGTTTATTTTCATTTTATTTTAGTTATATAGTTTGTTTGTTTTTTTCTTTAATTTGTAATAATTTTGCTGGGTATGTGTTATTAAATTTAGATTTTAATTATTAATTTTTTATATTTTAATTTGCCCATGAAATTCTTTTTAAAATATTTTTCACAGTACTTCCTTAAATATTTCTTCTTCTGCAGAAAGTCTGATTTGTTTTATTTCGACTAGAATAAAAGCAGTTTTTAATTGTTTTTAGAGCCATTTTAAGGTCAATATTATTCGCCCCTTCAGCAATATTAGTGTTGGATTGTCTCCAGAACAAACCACTGTTATACAATGACTTGCCTAATTACCCTAACTTTACCCTAATTACCCTAGTGAAGCCTTTAAATGTCACTTTAAGCTGAACACTAGTGTCTTGAAGAATATCTAGTCTAATATTATTTACTGTCATCAAGGCAAAGAGAAAAGAAAATTAGTTATTAGAGATGAGTTATTAACACTATTGATTAGAAATGTGTTGGAAAAATCTTTGTTAAACAGAAATTGGGAGGAATAATTCTGACATCAGCTGTATATAGAATTATTTTTCCTCCTGATATAATTTTATTCTTTTATTTTATATATATATATATATATATATATATATATATATATATATATATATATATATATATATATATATATATATGTATATATATAAATATATGGTCTTCTGCTGCTGTAGCCCATCCGCCTCAAGGTTGGACGTGTTGTGTGTTCAGAGATGCTCTTCTGCAGAGCTCGGTTGTATCGAGTGCTTATTTGAGTTACTGTTGCCTTTCTATCAGCTGGAACCAGTCTGGCCATTCTCCTCTGACCTCTGGCCTCATCAACAAGGCATTTGCGCCCACAGAACTGCCGCTCACTGGATGTTTCCTCTTTGTCGGAGCATTCTCTGTAAACCCTAGAGATGGTTGTGCGTGAAAATCCCAGTAGATCAGCAGTTTCTGAAATACTCAGAGCAGCCCGTCTGGAACCAACAACCATGCCACGGTCAAAGCCTCTTAAATCCCCTTTCTTCCCCATTCTGATGCTCGCTCTGAACTGCAGCAGATTGTCTTGACCATGTCTACATGCCTAAATGCAGTGAACTGCTGCCATGTGATTGGCTGATTAGAAATTTGCGTTAACGAGCAGTTGTACAGGTGTACCTAATAAAGTGGCCGGTGAGTGCATATATATATATATATATATATATATATATATATATATATATATATATATATATATATATATATATATATATATATATAATTTATATATTTCAGTTAGTCCTTATGGTTTGAAAAGGATACGTCTTCATCTACATGTCACCACCATTATTAAACCTCTGATTATGTTGCTGAAGCACGAGTGTATGAACAACAGCATTATAGAGTCTCTCATGACCTCTAGTGTTTTCTGTCACACTGTAAATAATATCTGTAAATTAGCAGTTGTCCGTATTTTATGATTCATGTTATCCCCCCGTTTATTTCTGGTTCTGAATTGCATTATGGGATCCTGAGCTTTCTTTCAACTTTTAACCTTGTAAAGTGTGTAAAAGTGTCTTTCCTGCTCATGTGTAATAGTCTGCAGTGCTTAATTTTTCTGTGTTGGTGTTGTACATTACGCTACAGAAACCTAGTAATAAACTGCAGCATGTTCTGTTATTTCACACACTTATTTCTCTACATATTATTTCTTATACACTATATTATTACAAACTACTAAAATGTCAATAAATGTCACTTTATTAAACTGTAGAGTTGAATTTACAACATCAGAAGTAAACAGAGCAGAGATCAACATCCCATAATGTAATTCACAACCCAAAATAAACACTTGGGAATCACAAAAAACAGAAAGTGTTCATTAACAGAGGTTTTACAGTGCAGAAGTGCAGCTAAAACACAAGTGTATGAACACGCATTATAGCGTCTCTCATGACCTCTAGTGTTTCCTGTCAGTACTGCAGCTCTTCCACTCACCTGCAGTTTCTCCAGCTCCTCTTTACTCTCTCTCTTCAGCTGAAGGAGCGCGGCCTGATGCTCTGCCAAAACACAAAACAATACGCTAAATTGTAAAATAAAATACAATAATAATAAGCATTAATAAGTAAATCATCTCACCTGCTTCTGTGTAACGCAGTCCCACCTTCTCCTCGGCGGCCTCTTTAGGTGGAGGCCAGACAGCCTGCAGACGTCCAGGCGTTCGGTCTTCGCCATCGGATGGAGACGTGACTTCAGACTGAGTGCAAACACACAGACAGAGCATGTGCAGAGGTTAACCAGAGGAGAATAAATAAATCCCACAGTTGCATTAGTTATGCGCTGCATTTAGCACATCATAACTAACTGATTTCCAGGGCCCGGTTTTTCAAAAGGTTTAATCCGGATCAAATTGATCCAGATTTAGTAATCCTGTTCTTGCGATCCGGGATCACGTAATCCAGCTTACTTTTTGAGCCAGTTTTTCAAAGCAACATCGGATTGGATCAATCTGATCCGGATAGGAACTTTTCAGGATCACTAAATCTGGATAACCAGTGCTCAAACAGCATAGGACATCACAATGTAGAACTATAGATATGTATAGAGCGACAAGTAGAATAGCCAGCGTGGGGCCAATATAACTTTATTTTTATTTGAAATGAAAACTAAAATTTTTTTAATAATTATTAAAATAATAATAATAAATAATAAAAACAAGAAAAAGCCCACCCCATCCTCTTTCAGCAGTCCACTCATCTGAGACCTACAACACTGTACATTGAGGATATTTATAATAAGTTTCAGATATAGATGTAAATAAAAAAAAAACTCCACAATAATTTCAGACTTCCTCATCTGATGTGGAGAGAGCAGCTTGTCTGAGCGTAGCCTTTAGGAGGCAGATCTCAAGTCATTGGTCTTGGTTTGCTGCAGTTTGGTCAGAGTCAGTTGTTCCTCTGCCAGATGAAGCTGTGCTTCTGCCCTTTCAGTCTCTTTTTACAATTGTTGAAAGAGATTTCTAAAATCAGCGATTGACATTCTTTGCACTTTTTTTGTTATTCTGTAATCATTGCATGCATCACTAATAAATATTCTAAAAAGAAAAATATTTTTCATTGTGATGAATATAGATATCAATTAGTGACAGAATAAAATTGATTGTTTTTGGTCAGTTTTGGCAGCTGTTTGGGGGATTATTTTATGAGGCCAAACTATTTCTACTTTGCTGTAGGCCTATACTGAAAGGCTAAAGACATTAAAGCCTATACTCACTACAGCCTGATGGATGAACAAATAAAATTAAAACCTTATGAATAAATAGTATATCTCGTAAGATACTGCATGATCCAAAAATAGTATTATTTAATACATTTTTTAAGTTTTCATTACATTTTGGGCATGAAATCCACACTAAATCCACCTTTCTGGTGGGATCAGTTTAATCCAGGTTTTTTGGATCAAAGTGATCCAGATCCTACAAAAAAGGTCTGAAAAACCCAAAGTAAAGGTTTGATCTGGATCAAAACCAAGATTGGATTACGTGATCTAATCCGATTATGTAATCCCTTTTTTCTTTTAAAAAACCCATTTTCAAGATTTGATCCAATCCCTTATCCAAAATCCTAGTGGATTACCTTTGAAAAACCGGGCCCTGGAGATTATCACTCGTTCGCGGGCATTATGAGTCCCGCAAATGCATAGAGACTCCCGGAAGACTTGGGATGTCTGAATATCACGTTTAACAACTATAGTGGGACGCGATCCAGCAGTACATCCTTCATCAACTGTCCCACGTGCACTGCTCTCTGGAGCTCAGAGGAGCGCATGACAGTGTGTGGATGGGTGTGTGAGGCTGTGTGTGTGTGTGGTCATGTGATGTGTGTTTTCAGCAGACAGGAGGGCTGTTCAGAAATGCTAGGTAAAACACGGTGTGGATGTGGATCATTTTCGTTCTAAAAGTGTGTGTATTTTTCATGAGCGGGTTTGCGAAGGGTCGGGCGGAGGATCGGCGATGCTGGCTCAGCATTGTGCTGTCTATTGGCCATTGCCGATGGATGATGGCATCGTCTATCGGCCCAACCTCAATCTTACATCTTGTAAAAGGGGTAAAATAGGTGCCTGTTTTCAGTTTTATACAAAGGTTATTATACTGCAGTTCTGATACAGATAAAGATTATTGTGCTTCCTTGTTTAATGATTATCTTATTAACGCGCCACTTTTGCCATTACGAGCTCACTCACTCAGCCTAACAGTAAGAGTCAGGCATGTTTGCATTTTCATCAAGCTTTCATTGACAGAACATTCATATTTACTTTTGCTCATGAGAAATTTACTGAAGTATGGACCTCGGTGATCTTATATTCTTTGGTGGAAAGTAGAGCTGCACGATACTGGAGAAATCTTCTCACAATATACCATTTCCCAAGAAAAATACAATTTTTAATTAGCTAAATTATTCATTTATTTAATGATATTAAAATAAAGAGGTAAAAGACATTTTTTCGCATCCAATTAATTCCAATTCAGACTAAAAAACTGTCAAACATTTAGGCTGTTTCTCAATATGCGTTCTTCAGCAGTCTTGCGTCCTCGTGTAACGTCATCATCAGCTGCCTAAGTTCAGTTCCAATACTCAAGACTGCAAGTACGGAGGACGTGTAAAACTTCGATCTTGATATCGAGGACGCATGGATGCAGACTTAAGCACCGAACTCGCTCGGAAAGTCCCAGAAGTCATTGCGCCTGGAGGTGGGAAGCGCAGCATTGTATTTAGGTTTATTATTAAAGTTTAGAGATGTAACTTATTTACCTCAGGAGTTTCCCTAAATGAAACGCTGAATATAAACATTACCACGAACATCTTAATAAAGGAATAAACACACTAGGGGTGTTTGTTTGCTGAAATTCGTATTAAAATCTGTTTTATTTATATTGTGCAGGGTATATTTATGCTGTTTTTATGCAGAGTTTATATTTCAAAAGGGGAAAACAATAAATCGTTGTATTAGTGCTGTAATGCTTAAATAATTTCCATTTAAAACGAGTGAAGGTCATGTGACCATCAGGAAGAACGCAGCAATCTCATTTCTCAACGGACGCGTTCTCTGCCCTCGCAGTCTCCTGAGCTCGTTCTTCCGAGGACACCTGGCAGGACCGCTCTCCAGAATAACGCAAGTCCGTTCTCTGCGTTCTTGGAATTGAGAAACAGCCTTAGTCTTTAAAACACAATGAATGAGCGTAAACCTGATATGCAGATATTCTAACTCTGATTGGCTGTTGTCATTTTCCTCTCTCGTCTTGACTCCACCCACTAGTGTTTATTTTCAGCTCTGGGTTCAACTATCCAGCCAATAGCAGAACAGTAGCTACTCAGGAGGTGGAGCTAAAGACAGTAGTAATTTAAATAAACAACCAGTGCATGAAATAAATTTAATTTACACACATATATTGCATGTACTGGGGAGGCATGGTGGCTCAGTGGTTAGCACTGTGGCCTCACAGCAAGAGGGTCGCTGGTTTAAGCCCTGGCTGGGTCAGTTGGTGTTTCTGTGTGGAGTTTGCATGTTTTCCCTGTGTTAGCGTGGGTTTCCTCCGGGTGCTCTGGTTTCCCCCACAGTCCAAACACATGCGCTATAGGGGAACTGATCAACTAAACAGGCAATATTGTATGAGTGTGTGTGTGTGTGTGTGTGTGTGGGTGTTTCCCAGTACTGGGTTGCAGCTGAAATGGCATCCGTCATGTAAAACATATGCTGGAATATTTGGTGGTTCATTCCACTGTGGCGACCCCTGATGAACAAATGGACTAAGCCAAAGAAAAATTAATGAACGAATGAACATTGCATGTACTATCAACAAGAAAACCATAATTTTGCAATATATTGTGCAGCCCTTGTGGAAAATAAAAGTATCATTACTTGCCAAAAATGCAGTGCAAAAGTAAAGCCAAAGTCTCGTTTGTAAACACTACTCAATATTTAAGTAAAAGCAGCACTTCTAAAAGTCCTCAAAAGCAGTATTACACTGTGAACATGACTGCGCTTTATACCCTGCAGATTAAACATCAGCGACATTTTCATTTAATTACCTATTTTCCATAAGTGTGAGTTAAATTATTTACCACTCATGAACTGTATATTTAAAAAAACAAGATTAATTTAATGTATTTATATATTATTATTATTGCACCTGTAATAATTCAACCGAAAGCTGCTTTTACATGTGGTGTGAAATCCGTGTACAAAAGAAGAGCAAAAATCTAGCTGTGCTGATCATGCTCAGAATATGATCTGACCCCTGACTAACACAAGCTGTAAGTGTCCAGCAGGTGGCGCCACAAACCAAACTCATGCAGCACTGATAGAATACAAGGAAATTGTGTGTGCGTGTGAATAAAATACATCAATATAAATAAATAAAACAGTAGTGACTGCAGGTTGAAGGGAAATAGAGCTGCTTTGTAAAATAATATTCCTGAGAAAATCTACTCAATTACAATATTTATATCTGTGCACATATTTGAAAATATAAAAATAAATATAGACATAAACAAATAAAGTATTGACTCTAGGTTAAAGGAAAATAGCGCAGTAAAAGTACTGATACAGCACTAAAAATGCATTGAAGTAGAAGTACATTGTTCAAACAATGTATTGAAGTACAATTCCTGAGAAAAAAACTACTCAGTTACAGTAATCTGAGTAATTGGTCGCAATTTATTGGAAGAAGAATTGAAAGGCTGATGGCTTTTATTTGCACGTTGTTTTTTTTAATGTAACTAATAAATACTATTTTTATCTTCTTCAGGTTATGGATAAAATATGATAATTCTAATTCAATAGATTAGACTTAGATTAGATTCAATAGAATAGAAACTATTTAATATTTCATAACATATATGATATTTCTGGAAATCACCAGGCAACCTTCCTTCATTGCTCATGACCTCCCAGGGGGTCCCGACTCCCACTTTGGGAACCACTGCTTTAAATACCATCTTATATCTGTGCATGTGTTCAAAAATGTAAAAAGTAAATAAACAATCATATAATGTACTGACTGTAGTTTAAACGAAAATAGCCCAGCACAAGTCGCAATACAGCACTCAAAATGTACTCCAGTAAATGTGCACATCATTCAAACTAATTACAGTACAACTCATTTACAGTAATTTGTGTATTTGTAACTGGTTATTTTATCTTATGTCTGTGCATGTGTTCGAAATGTAGAAAATAAATAAATAAATAAACATATAAAGTATTGACTGAGGGTTGAAATAAAACCGTGCAGTAAAAGTACAGATATGGCACTAAACATGTATTATTGAAACTATTCGCTAAAGTACGATTGCTGAGAAAATACTCAATTACAGTCATTTGAGTATTTATAATTCGTTATTTATAATTTGTATAAATACAAATAAATAATAAAATTGTGATTGTGGGTTGAAATAAAATAGCACAGTAAAAGCACCGAATCGATACAGCACTAAAAATGTGAAAACAATTACATTTTTCTGAACTACTTACTAAAATATAATTCCTGAGAAAAAACTACTCAATTGCAGTAATTTGAGTATTTGTAATTGGTTATTTTACACGAATGCTTATATCTGTGCATCTGTTCTAAATGTAAAAATAAACATAATGTATTGACTGCAGGCTGAAGGAAAGTAGCGCAGTAAAAGTACAGATACAGCACTAAAAATGCATGTGAAATTTGTATTATTACTAGTATTTGTTTGTTATAATTATTTAAATATACACATACATTTAGCCTTGTTAAAACAGGCACTCTGTTGTTTTTTTTCAATGTGTTTTGTGATGAATAGTTGAAATGTTAATAAAAAGATTCAATAAAAAATAAGAATAATCCTTAAGAGTTTTTTCATTTATTTACTTATTATATTTTATTATTACTATTATTTATTATAATGATTTTATTAATGAAGAATTGTGTTTAATGGTTAAAATGTTAAAAAGATGCAATAAAAATAATCAAAGTATTGCTTATTTTTTATTTATTTATTTTTAGTATTATTATTTATTATTAATTACATATATATATATATATATATATATATATATATATATATATATATATATATATATATATACATATATATATAATAAAAAAGATGCAATAAAAATAATCAAAGTATTGCTTATTTTGTTATTTATTTACTTATTATTATTATTTATTATTACTTTTATTTATTTATTATAATTATTTTAGTAATGATGAATATATATAATTTATTTTGTCCTTCTTTCAATGTGTTTTGTGATAAATAAAAAATAAAAGTAATCATAATGTATCGACTGTAGTTAAAACAGTGAATTAAAAGTGTACTGATTTAAAAACTTATTAAATTTACTACTTACTTAATAAATTACAATTCCTGAAAGAAAAAACTACTCAATTGATTTAATCTGAGCATCAATAATCTTAAATCTGGCCGGCTGATACATACTTTGACCTCAGCAGGGCTCTTGGTTTCAGCAACACTTGTTTTGTTCTGCTTCTCAAAGAAGGACCTGAGCAGCTCTTTATCGCTTTTCTTCTTCTTCTTAATCGCCTCCAAATCCAGCGATGCATCCACAGGGTCCTTTTTAGGAGATTTAGATCCAAATAATTTGCTTTTCAATGCATCATACGCCAAATCTGTTGATGGCTTCACACTGCAGTCTGTTTGTTCATCTTTAGCTGCTGTTTTTATATCCGCAGATTCCTCTTGCTTGTTGTTTTCCTCAACGTTTGATGCTTTCTGGAGCAAATTAGTGATTTCTGATAGACTTCGTGGTTCGGTTTTCTTCTTGGTTATGGTGAGCGGTTCAGTTTTGGCTTTGTTGACGTGCTGTTTAAGGCTCAGTAGCGCTCGATCTGCATCTTTCTGTTTAATTTCTGAAAGTGTCTCCCGCTCGTCTCCGACGGCTCCTTTTTTTAACACACGAAGGCCACTGAAAAGAGCTGGAACTTGGAACTTGTCGCCGATTTTGGGTGAAACGGTGTCCAGTTTTTGAGGAGGAGATTGAGCTTCTGGTGCACACTGAAACAAATTATTCATTGGTTCAATGAGGAATACTTACAAACAACCCAGGCTCATTATTGATACGTATCCCTGTATACATTTCTGGAGAACGCAAAATACGTTCCAGGAGGCATGTTTTTTTTTGCAGTTTTTGTTTTCGCACATCCACCAGAGGCCTGTGTATGCTTTTTAGATCTCAAATTTCTCTTAAATCCCTGCTGTTTTTGCATATTACCACCAGAGGATGCTGTCGATTGACTGACCGACCAACCGATAACCCCACTCACCCCCTTCCCTAAACCCAACCGATAGTGTTTTCAAAAGCAATCTAGAAAAAGAAAAGCACCTGATTTTTACCACGTTTTCAGATCTTACCCCATTCTCACCCTGTTATTTACTTGTTTATTTTATTTTTAGCATTTTGTTTTTGTTTTACCTGCTTTCTGGAACCGTTTTTCGCCAGACTTAAACCCTGTTGTCGCAATCAACACCTCTTTGTGGCTCAAGACCACTGATATACAAGGCGAGCTAATGGGCAAACTGGTAACAGAAAGCCGTCCATACATAGGTAATCGATCTGCTAGTAGTGCTAAAAGAAACAGAGGCTGGCCCTGTAGTATTCATTTTAAAGACAAAATGCAGCCTGTAGTAGCTCTGGCTACATAATTCACGCTCTCCAGAAATATATACAGGGGTACATATTCACAATGAGCCTGTGTTTCTTATAAAGATGCTCTGCAAACAATGGTTTTGGCATGGTCTGTTTCTAATCCAAATATCTACAAATTCTTGGTAACACTTTACAATAAGGCTGTATTATTAGTTAATGTTAGTTAATGCATTTAACAAACAATGAACAATAGATTTATTTCAGTATTGTTCAAGTTAGTTTGGGATGGTCGTTTTTAGGAACGTGCTTGAGGATGAGTAAGACACCGATATAGTCTCAGAAAACTTATTGCAGAAATTATATCTAACATCTTCATCAAATTTGGAATATAAACTCACAAGACACTTGGCTTTCAAGGCATATTTTTTCTAGGTTATTTCAAGAATAGTTTCCTATGTTTGTATATTACAAAACAAACATAGAGCAGTACAATTTGTACTTTGTTTTTTGTATTGATTCTCATTACTTGCATGTATAACTTCATATATTTTTAGCATTAAACTGGCTAGATGGATCATAGTTAAGCTCATAGTGTCTTCTTTCCAATGATATCTTATTTATGTATATAGCTCACTAGGATCAGGAAACCTTACTATTTTAAGTTAGGTACAGTTGAAGTCAGAATTATTCACCCCGTTTATTTTTTTCCCTAATTTCTGTTTAACAGAGAGAAGATTTTTTTTAACACATTATTAATTATAATAGTGTTAATAACTCATCTCTAATAACTGATTTATTTTCTCTTTGTCATGATGACAGTAAATAATATTAGACTAGATATTCTTCAAGACACTTCTATACAGCTTAAAGTGACATTTAAAGGCTTCACTAGGGTAATTAGGGTAACTAGGCAGGTTAAGGTAATTAGGCAGGTTATTGTATAATGATGGTTTGTTCTGTAGACTATCGAAAAAATATATAGGTAATAATTTTGACCTTAAAATGCAGTTTAAAAATTAAAAACTGCTTTTATTCTAGCCGAAATAAAACAAATCAGACTTTCTCTAGAAGAACAAATATTATCAGACATGCTGTGAACATTTCCTGAATCTATTAGACATCATTTGGGAAATATTTAAAAAAGAAAAACAAATTCAAAGGGGGGTGAATAATTCTGACTTCAACTGTAGGTGTAAATGCCTAGGGCGCTGCTGGCTAACAGGCTAATGAAAATACAGGTGCTCATTGTTAGTCCACGTTAACTCTCAGTGCATTTACTAATGTTAACAAGCATGAGTTTGGATGTTAATAATGATGCATTAGTTATTGAGGACCTATGATTCATAAATGCAGTATTGTTCATTATTAGTTATTGTTAGTCAACAATCAACTAATGAAACCTCATTGTAAAGTGTGACAATTCTTAAACCAAGAAGCATCTTCTGGACAAGCTAAAATGTGCTGTTTTCAGAAATAATGAGTCACAATTGTGATAAAGTTAGTTCTTTGAAACAAGCTGAAATAATCTGCCAATGGACTTAGTGAAATAATCTTGTTTTTGCCCACATTATTTTACTTACAGTTTGTTTTGACATAATATATGTGTGTGTGCTGTGTATATTTATTATTTATGTATAAATACACATGCATGCTCCAGTTTTAGCAGAGCATGCAACAGATGCAGCTTTGTCTTTGGTACTGACTAAGCTAATGCATCTGCACACATACATTTCTGTAAAGCAGGGGTCACCAATCTGGGTCCTGGAGGACTAGCGTCACTGCAGGGTTTAGCTCCAACTTGCCTCAACACACCTGTCTGGATGTTTCAAGAAAGCCTTGATCAGCTTGTTCAGGTGTGTTTGATTAGGGTTAGAGCTAAAATTTGCAGGACACCGGACCTCCAAGTTTGGAGACCCCTGCTGTAAAGCATGCTGCACTGGAAAAAATGCTTTTCTCTCTTCAATATTTTGGTGTTGTTTTCAGTCTAAATATCTAAAAAAGTTTCAAACAAGAAGCTTTTTTTCCATACAAGCACAAACTATAGTCTTGTTTAAAGAAATAAAGTCAAAATGAAGTGAGTTTTTTGATTAAAACAAGCTCAATAATCTGCCAATGGGGGAAGAGAAATAATCTTGTTCATCATTTTGACATGAGATTGTTCTGCATGCCTCATTGGCAAATTATTTTGAAAGCAAGACTATATTTTTTATATATTATCAGTATTTCTAAAAAACAAGGCTATATTTTGTGCTTCTTGATTTAAACAGTTTTATATATTTAGATTAGAAACAAGACACAACTTAAAGTAAGAAAGGCATTTTTTGCAGTGTGTAGAAAATATGAATGTAAAGAGAGATCTGTGGAGGTTGAACTCATCGCTCAGCACTGCATATCATGTCAAAACAAACTCTTATATTGGATGCTATTAATCACTATTAATACTAATTGGATGTAAATGATTGTTACCAGTGCACGTTTAGCAGCAGGTGAATTTCCAGCAGAAACATCTTCTGTCTCCGACTGATGATCTGAAGAAGCTGAACTCACAACTTCATCTGCTTTTAGAGGATCCGCCGGATCTAAATTCCCTTCTTGGTGAGAATCAGCAGCGTCTTTAACATCACTGTGTGTTGTACTGGTTGTACGCACAGTCATGAATCGTCTCCAGCTGCTGACGTCTGCCACTGATGTTTCTTTCCTAGCATCATCCAGCAAACGCGATGCATTGAGTTTGTTGAGTTTCCCGAGCGAACTCGTCCGGCTCAGAACTGAAGCATCTTTGAGCGATCTCTCCACAAGACTCTCCAGCTTCTCCTCGGATTTTTTACACTCACCCCCAGACTCCTCTGAAATGTCCTCGTCATCAATGTACGTCTCCACTCTGGTGACCTGCACTAGATAGGGATCAGACAACCTCCATGAAGGCCTTTCTGTATCCGGAAGCAGCTTATCCTTCATTTCATCTTCGGGTTTTGCATCATCTTCAATATTTGGATCAAGATGGAGGTTCGTGCTTTCATCTGGGAGTGTTCGGAATGAAGTGAGCACCGCTGTTGGCTGATTCGACAATGAAAACCTTGAAGAAATCCTACTTGCTGGATCCATGTTTTGGTTTGCATTGAATCTTTTAAAGGTGCTGTATGGACGTTTTTGACTCTTCTAAAGCATGACTACCACAATATTCCATTCAATTCAATTCAAGGTGTTTTGTATAGTGCTTTTGGCTATAATTATTGTGTAAATGTGCACATTATTGCATTACAATCAGATTTAGAAGTTAATATGAACAATTAGACAAGACAGCATATGCATTGAGCTCTCTGTAACTTATTAAACTAAATTAATCCTGTTCTAACTTAATTTGATAAGTTATGCAAGCAGTTTTAATTCAGTTTAACATAATAGAAGTTCAATAGTCTCATAAGAATAATTTGATTCAGCTTAAACATTTTAGGCGACCAGGAAGGTTTTACATAAATTTATATGATATAATTTATCGGTGATGTCTATGTTTGCAGATGTTTAAGTGAACATATTTGTTTGTTTAAAAACAATTCTGCAGTCAGTTATTCTATTTTAGAATGTGTGTTCCGTTTTGGAATGTCTGTCTTTGCTTTGATCTTTGTAACTCCGCCCACTACCAGTTAAACCAATTATATTTCAGCACTTCAGGTTGCCTTTATGGAAGATAGAGTATTTAATTTCAGTTTAATGTATGCAGACGAAGGACAAAAGCAGCCTCCGAAATCAGACGCAGATTCAGATTTATAAAAATACACTTGAGCTGTTTTTTTAATTAGTACAATAATTACAAATTTTACACACATAAGCTAGCTGATTAACCCTCGTGATCTGTTTGTCTCATCAATCTGGCAACCTGCATCGACATCAAAGTGATCAGGTCAGAAAAAAACCTTTCTGGGACAAAATAATAATATGATATTAGCAATTTAATTATTTTTTGGTATGAATTTTAGTTTGTTTGTTTATTTACAAACATAATTTACATTAATTATTTAATATGCACATACATTTATATGATGGTATTTATTTGGTATTGTTAAAAAGTTCAAATCGTTAATGAAAAAACCCTCCCCAATATTTTGAATTTACACCGCAATACCTAGGTCAACCACTAGGACAAAAGCAGCCTCCCAAATGAGACGCAGATTCAGTTATGAAAATACACATGAGCTAGCTTACAATTAGTATGACAAACACAAATGTTACAAACATAAACATTAGCTGAATAACTGTCTGTTTGTGTCATCAATCTGGCAACCTGTGTCAATATCAGAGCGATCATGTGAAATTAAAAAAGCTCTCAAAGACAAAATAATGACGATGGTTATAATATTATTGTTTGTTTTTTTCTGTATGAGTTTTGGTTTGGTTTATTTGCTAACATCCATTACATTCATCTTACTTAAATTCACATTGATATTATTTATTTATTTATTACTGTTATGTTTGTATGTAATCCCTTGTATTTAATATTCAACTGCATTATTTGCAAATAAGAAAATCAACCCAGAGTTATTAAAAATGCACACGGCTTGCTTCTTAATTAGCAATTAAATACAGATATTACAAACTTAAACATTAGCTGATCAACCATCAGACATGCTTGTGGCCTGTTGGTGTTGTCAATCTGGCAACCTGCGTCGATTTATTGGAAAAATAATAATAATGGTTATAATATTATTTCTTCACTGTGTGTTTTGGTTTGGTTTGTTTACTAACTGAAATCATTTGCATTTATTATTTAACACTCATTTAACTGTATATGATGTTATTTGTTAATTTACTTGGTGTTGTTATGTTAATCCACGATATCTGATATTTATCTATGTTATCTGCAAATCAGAAAATCTATAAAAAATTGAAATAATAAAGAAACCCTCCCCAGTATTTTGAATTTAGACCGCAATACCCAGATCAGCCACTAGGAAACCGACATACTGCACCTTTAAAGTGGAATCCAGCAAGTGTATAAACAAATCCTGCTTGTGTGTGTATGTGTGTGTGTGTGTGTGTGTGTGTGTGAACTTCAGTCTCCAGTAGTTTAACCTGCACGAGCTCCAGTTTCACTCAAGAACACAAAAGCTTTTTGTGTGTGAAGATAAATCCCAGCGTCTCTCTCTCTCTCTCTCTCGGTCGCTCCGTTCACTCCTGTGCCAATGTTCAGCCTTTATATTCCAGATTGAGAATGAGTAGACACAGAAGCCGAAGTTTGACTGTCATTAAATCAAACACTCACACTCCTGCTGTATACGTGGTTCCTGTAAATACTCCAGAAGTCTTCCAGAAAGTTGCAGCACTTCCTGCTCAGCGTCAGTGTTTCGCTTGTGTTTCTCCTCCGGGAGGGTTTGAGAGGTGGGAGTTACGCAGCACTGACTACCTTTAGCTCCAGCCACTCCCTCTGTGTGTGTGTGTGTGTGTGTGTGTGTAGCTGTAAACCTGGCAGAGAATCCACCTGTGAGTGTCTGATTACTCCTGAAAGACTGAGCAGAGATTGAGCCTCGCTCCACCTTCTCTCTCTCTCTTTCTTCCTCTCTCTCTCTGTACGTGTGTGTTTTTCACTCACCCCGAGTGTACAGTATGTGTGCCTCTCTCTCTCTCTCTCTCTCTCTCTCTCTCTCTCTCTCAGTGTGTCTCTCTCTAAGCTCCAGCTGGGTCAGGTGAACTGCTTCATTATTACAACAGAGCCTATAATCAGCTCTGATGAGGTCATCGGCCACGCCCCTCTCTGTTGCTATGCCGCTGACCTGTAGAAGCAGTGACCCGGGAAAAGGTCTGAAAGCTTCCTGAACGACATCAAGTTGTACTTGTGAGGCTGGTTATAAACGGCTTAGAAACTTCAGAAGCATTTAAATTGTGAAGAGTACCGCTTGAAAATATATAATCACTTTAATTTGATGATAAAATGCACACAATCTGAAAATAAATTAAATATGTCAAATGCTTTTAAATGTGTTTGTATAATAATATAATTAAAGTATCATTTAACCAGAATATAAGCAGAAATATTTATGTGATAATTCTTTTATTCATTTTTCGACTGCTTTGTCCCTTTTTTTAAGGGGTCGCCACAGTGGAATGAACCGCCATGCAATATTTACATTATTTCAATAAATCATAGAAATCAGAATTTAAATATACCTATTAGTTCTGAACAAAAATGTATCGCGGATCCAAAATAAAAGTTTGTTTTGACATAATATATGTGTGCATGTGCGGGGACGCAGTGGCACAGTAGGTAGTGCTGTCGCCTCACAGCAAGAAGGTCACTAGTTCGAGCCTCTGCTGGGTCAGTTGGTGTTTCTCTGTGGAGTTTGCATGTTCTCCCCGTGTTGACGTGGGTTTCCTCTGGGTGCTCCGGTTTCCCACACAGTCCAAACACATGTGGTACAGGTGAATTGGGTAGGCTAAATTGTCCGTAGTGTATGAGTGTGTGTGAATGAGTGTGTATGGATGTTTTCCAGAGATGGGTTGCAGCTGGAAGGGCATCCGCTACGTAAAACATATGCTGGATAAGTTGGCAGTTCTTTCCGCTGTGGCGTGCCTGGATTAATAAAGGAACTAAGCTGGGGAAAAAAAATGAATGAATGAATAAATTATTATAATAATAAAATATTCAATTGTATGTATATGACATTTTATATAAAATATATATTAAATATAATAAAACAGAATGACCAGAATATAAATACTCATTTAATAATAATTTAATAACTCAATTTAATAATAAAATAAATAAATATATATATTATTAAATCATAAACAATATTACTCATGCAAAAATGCAAACTATAAAAACAATAAACTATAGCTGATAATATCAGTACTACAAATATAACACATATAAATATCACCAGACTGTAAGAATAGAGTTATGAAAAACATTGATATTCTTCCTTATTTTCCTCTTTCTCTTCTTGACTGACCTGAGACCAAAACACAGTGTGACTCTGATGAGCCGCTGTCACAGCGATCTGGCAACGATCCTGCCACACTTCACGCACCGCTTGCTGCACGTTTGAGGATGAAAGGAAACTCATCCAAAACACAGAGCTTTAATAAAATAACAACACTGAAGCCAAAGCTAAGCTGAAAACAACAATACAGTTGAGTGCTGTAACTAGTCCACCTTCACCTATTTCCCTTTCTCTGCTGCTCTAAAGTTCATGAACCCCTGGCAAAATCTGTGAATAATTTTAACAAAATAAGTGGTGCTTCCTTTCAGACATGCATCACTGTTGTTATTCTCCATCCTTCTGTGCACTTTTTGGTGCGTAACCACGCCCACTGCATTTGTCACCCCTAGCAACCACTCAAAACACCCTACCAACCACCTAGCATTGCCTTACAACCACCTAACAACACCTTAACAACTACCTAGCAACACTCAATCACCCTAGCAACCACCTAGCAATGCCTTAGCAACTGCCTAGCAACCATTTAATCACCCTAGCAACTGCCTAGAAATGCCACCTAACTACACCTTAGCAACTGCCTCACCCTAACCACCTTAACACTGCCTCAATCACCCTAGCAACCATCCAGCAACTGCCAAGTAACCGCTCAACCACCACAGCAACCCCCTAGCAATGAAATACAACACACTAACAATGCCTTAGCAACTACTTAGACATGCCTTAGCAACCACCTAGAAATACCTTAGCAACAGCACAGTAACCATTCAACCAACTTTTCAAGGAACAGCAGGCAGTTTATTCAGAACAATCAAAGGAATCACGAACATCCATCACAAAGCAGAAAACACACAGGGTATTAAAAACAATTCTGATTTTGATCAATTCTGCGATTCTCTGTCTATATGTAAATACACTCACCGGCCACTTTATTAGGTACACCTCTCCAACTGCTCGTAAATGCAAATGTCTAATCAGCCAATCACATGGCAGCAGTTCACTGCATTTAGGCATGTAGACATGGTCAAGAGGATCTGCTGCAGTTCAAAGCGAGCATCAGAATGGGGAAGAAAGGGGATTTAAGAGACTTTGAATGTGACATGGTTGTTGCTGCCAGACGGGCTGCTCTGAGTATTTCAGAAACTGCTGATCTACTGGGATTTTCACGCACAAACATCTCTAGGGTTTAGAGAGAAACAGAGGAAATATCCAGTGAGCGGCAGTTCTGTGGGCGCAAATGCCTTGTTGATGAGGCCAGAGGTCAGAGGAGAATGGCCAGACTGGTTCCAGCTGATAGAAAGGCAACAGTAACTCAAATAAGCACTCGTTACAACCGAGCTCTGCAGAAGAGCATCTCTGAACACACAACACGTCCAACCTTGAGGCGGATGGGCTACAGCAGCAGAAGAGCACACCGGGTGCCGCTCCTGTCAGCTAAGAACAGGAAACTGAGGCTACAATTCACACAGACTCACCAAAACTGGACAATAGAAGATTGGAGAAACGTTGCTGCTCTGGTGAGTCTCCATTTCTGCTGACACATTCGGATGCTCGGGGCAGATTTTGGCCTCAACAACATGAAAGCATGGATCATCCTGCCTTGTATCAGCGGTTCAGGCTGGTGGTGGTGGTGTAATGGTGTGGGGGAGATTTTCTTTGGGTCCATTAGTACCAATTGAGCATGGTGTCAACAAGGAATCTCTGAGGAACATTTCCAGTACCTTGTTGTATCTCTGCCATGAAGGATTAAGGCAGTTCTGAATGCAAAATAGTGTTCAACCCTGTACTAGTGAGGTGTACCTAATAAAGTGGCCGATGAGTGTATATTTTATGTACAATCTTACTCAGAACAGTACCAAGTAAAAAACATGTACTTAGTGCTATCACTCTTATACTGTTAGAATTATTCACATTTTCACATATTCTACAAGAGCAGCACAATCTTTTAAGCAGCACTGTATAGTTTAAATGATAACACTGTAGCATACATAATTTTATTAGTTGTGCAGGTAATTAGCATGTGTTGTGGCCTACATTAGTACGGGTGGATTATGACCAGTCCAGGCCTCTTCTGTACTTTTCTTATGTAACTGAACCTGTGTTTATGAGTTCCTGCAAACACTGCGACCTGCTTCTTGAGCTGAAAAAACAAGACACATGGCAGAAACTAAAGCTGCTCGTCCTGAACTTCAATCTACACTGATAAAGAATGTATAAATGACTTCAAATTCACTGCCATGCTTTTCTTACTCAAAGTGTGTGTCTTGTTTCTAGTCCAAATATCTAAAAACTCTTAACTCAAGAGGCATTTTTATAGACGGGTAAAAAAAATCCAGGTCTAATTTGCACTGTTTGTTTGACTTTTTTCGCAACCCTATTGTAATGATTTTTGCTTGCAGTTTGTTTATTTTTCATTAGTCCTGTCAATCGATAAAAAAAAAATGTAACTAATTAATCGCACCTTTTTTAAAAAAATTAATCGCGATTAATCACACTTAAAAGACTGAAACTTGTCATTTTGGCTATTCAAATGTAAAATTAATGTAAACGCAATACAAAAAGTATTTAAATTCAAAATATAATTGTTTATTAGAATTTTTGTTTAACTTATAACACAGAATTCTTCATCTAAACAACAAACCCACAATAAACCATCAAGATCCTGGCTTGACAGCCATATTTATGACAGAAATTAAAACACAGGCATGTTAATGACATTTACATTTCAAAACAATCAATGCCAATAAAGAAAACATTGATTTCCATGTTGGATTCTAAGTGGACTGCAAAAGAAATGCCAAAATACAGACACTGCAGATATGGAAAATGAAAAATTATAATAATAAACTATAGAATACAAGCTGTTGCACTCATTGTAAAGTTTTATTGCTGTGAGTTGAGAACATTAATTATAAAGTAGAAAAAATTGTGCTTAATCCTCCTTTACATTCATCCAGTTGCTAAGATTAGGAGTTTCCCACAAACGCACAGAGACTCCCGGATGCCTGCAAACGAATGATAATCTCCTGGAAATCGCACGTCTCCCGCCCGGTCTTTAAATACGTTGCACACCCCTCTCCACCGCATCCCTCCTATCTCTTCAGGTGCATCGCGCGCAACCCACCCCCACCGCTCTTCAGGTATGTCTTGCGTGCACACGCCCCTACTCAGATACATCGCTCACTCCACCCCTGACATCCCTCAACGGGCCTGACACACACACACACACACAATGCGCTGGAGCAACTCCCTTCAGATTCAACCCACATGATCTCATTCATCAAATTTGCTTAAACTAAGTATGGCTCTATTTCACAAGGATTCTGACACAACAACGCGAAGCATACACTTTTATTGCGTTTAATGAGGAAACATGCTAAACTTGGAGGGCTAATGCTGAAAGGCAGAGTAATGCCCTGTCTTTGACAGCTCAAGACTTCACCAGACGGTCTGAGTACATTTACATAAGACACCAATACTCTGATTTTAATATGATTAAGATTATACTCTTATTAAAATTCTACAGTGTAGCCTAAGCAGTGCATTTATTACCTTAAAGCAACACAGAGTCACGAAATGTGGAGGATTTTCTTTCTGTTCGCCATGCGGTATCAACTTACAACAGAAGTCGAAAGTTAAAAATGAAACACCCGAAATTGCATGAAACTGAGCCTGGTGATGCCACATTAATTGTTTTAAACTAAAACTTGCCTTCAAAAAGTGCTTGCTTGATCTTATTCATATTTCTTGCATGTTGAACACACGTCCACCACAACAGGAAGTAAAAAAGAACCTGCAACTGCAATAATTGTGTTATTTTTTTAACATGTTAATTATTTCAAATTAATCGCATAACACACTAATTTTGACAGCACTTTTTTCATACATGATTTACACGATTACATTAATCAGCCCAATCAATCTAAATGAATGCTTTCTTTCCAAACAGAGCTATTCAAGCCATCTGGTGAAAGTCTATTAATATTGCAAAATATATCGCAGAAAAATAAAATATTACAACGGTAGATGTTTACAATATCATGCAGCCCTTGTGTGAATAAAAAAGTAACAGGTAACATTAAAAGTAACACTAAATTAATAGGTGTTCAGGGCAATCACTGACAAATTCAAGTGTTTATGTGCCCAGCGTGTGTCTTGTGTTTGCCTGCTGACGGAGTGTTCAGTGCGCCTGCAGCTGGAAAAGTCAACTCTGCAGAGAAAGCAGCTGAGCAATAAGACTGTTGGGATGGAGCCTGACAATATAAAGATTTGGGGTTTAAGGCTGATTTATACATCTGTGTCAAGCACACGCGTATGTCTTCGTGCTGTCGCAGCCTCACTCTGCCTGACACCGTTGCTGACCTCTTAAAAAATGTAACGACACATAGCTCAAGCTCTGTTATTGGTCAGCTTGGTAGCAGTGACAAGTGTGAACGGTGCTGAGATCCGTCAGCCCGATGGAGTGAGTGTTTACAAGTGTGGAGTCCCGTGAAGGAGCTCCAGATGGAAACTGCTGTTTTGTCTTTACCTTATGATTAAAGTTTTTGCACGTCCGCCGGTTTCCGCCTTTGAATGAGCAAGTTTGAGCTACTTGTACATTAAGGTAGCGTTCACAACACAAACAGTGCATAGAACTGACCAACTAAACTTCTCTGACCACATCTCTAGAACTGCTCGATCGTGCAGATTCGCACTCTGTAACATCAGAAAGATCCGACCCTTCCTATCTAAACATGCAGCTCAACTCCTTGTTCAAGCTCTTGTTCTCTCCAGACTGGATTACTGCAACTCTCTACTAGCCGGGCTTCAGCTAACTCTATCAAGCCTCTTCAGCTGCTCCAGAACGCAGCAGCACGAGTGGTCTTTAATGAAGCTAAAAGAGCACTATGAAGGTATTTTTGGTGCAAAACTCCCAAGCAGCTGTAAAAGTGTCATTTGTAGTTGTAAAAAATAGCCACACATGTGTATCAGTAAATTTGTACTCGCAGAGCAAATTTGCAAATGCGTATCAGTAAATTTGTACTCGCAGAGCAAATTTGCAAATGTGTAGGTATTTTTTGTCTCCAACAAACACAACGCAACATTTACACCTGCACAAATTCTTCAGTACAGGTGCACAAATCCCATCGGACGAATCACAAATGCAGAAACTCATCCGCTCATGTTCTTTGCTACTATTGTTGCAGTGAATATGGTGCAAAACACATTCACACACCTGCATCCAGAAATGTGAAGTCACAGACAAAACTTGCACATCTGTAGATTAGAATGTGCATCCGCACAAAGAGAGCTGAACGTGTGTAGAATGTTTGATTATTTTTTTTCTAAGCACGAACACAAATATGTTCCTGCAACTGCTCAAATCTGCCGCTACGAGTCTCAAGCGCTGTTTTTCACTTGCAAATCTACATTTCGCTCTCTCGCTCTTCTGCACCAAACATCACTGTGACATTTGGTGCAAAAGTTACTTGTGTATCTGCCAACCAAAACGTGGGCTCTCAGAGAAATTCAGCCAATAGGGGATGGGGCGTGACGTCACCGCTCTAGCGCTGCGGAGGCTGAACGTCGAAACCGAAACCCCCTTTGCGAGATTCGCTGCATCTATACCTGATTTGCGTTCAAAAATGCCTGCTTAATTATTTCATAGTAAGAGCAAACATGCCTTAAGAAAAGGAGTAGGTTTGAAACTTTAGTAACCATAAAAAGTACGCCAGGTGGATGCCTTTCTACTCCAGGAAGCCGCAGCCTACGGCCTGAAGGAGGAAGAGGACGCGGTCAGTTTGAAATGTGAGTATTAAACCAAAGACAGTTCTTTGTGTTAAACTCGTATTTGTTGAGCTACTGTACAGTGCACTGTAGAATTGCTGAGGGTGTAAAGAGGCTTTAAATTATAGTCTATTTTATTTCGCTGTAAATGTTGACTGTGTAATGTTACGGTCTCCAGTCAGCACATATAAAGTAACGTTTCAAAGGTAAAAAAGATTATTATCAAATGTCTGACAGAAAAATGTGAAGTATTGCAGATCACAAGACTAAACAGACATCTGAGTGAGTGATGTATTTGTGCTGATGTAGAATCTGCTGTCAATTGACTGTTGCCAATACTGTTTAAATTAGATACATGTATTCTTACTAAAAGAGAATAAAGGGTCATTTGTTTAATCTGTGCATCAGTATATAGTTGATCACTTGAGGATTTGTGACCGCGTGAGCTTCAAAAAAACACGTTTTGGCAAGCCAGACTCATTTACAATCTTGATTAAAATATTAGATAAATATTAATTAAATATTAAATTAAATATTAGATTTAAATATAAAAAATATTAGTTTTAATAATTTTAATCAATTCAGGCTGCAAAAGATGAAAGAGAAAGTAATTCAGCATAGAGCGCAGATTTCTGTGCGCATCACGCGTCTGAACGCGCATTACCAAATGCACCTCCCTTTAATATCAGTTCATGCAGTCGTATTTCATACAATAGAAAGTCTTAAAGAACACAAACAGTTAAACAGCACTGTGAGATAATCAGGAGATGTATTGGGCCCGCTTAAACATTATAGCATGTTTCTCACGGAAAGAGCAAATATTAATTAGTCTGTTAATGACGCACAGAAACGGACAGATCACAGGCAGTTTCAGTAGTAAAGTTCGTGCAAAGTGCAACATACACAATTCAAACACCAGTGCAAAGCACTTTGTTGCAGTTTGTGTCAAAAACATCAATATTTTATATAGACACATATCCACACATAATCTTGCTTTCGCTTTGCTCTCTCTAAATGCGCGCTCTTCTCTTGACGCGCGCTGCTGTGTGTACCTCATCTGTAAATTTGGAGATGTTAGTAACTGAACTCATTTCAATATCACTGACTCGATTTATTAGATACGAAAGCCGTGTAACGTGCTATCGATTGACGTGTTGTCTTTTTTCCCCTTTAAATCTCTCAAATTATCATATGTGATCTCTCTGTTATTGGACTTTTTAACTGATAAGGGAAAAACGTCAAAATCATACACAAGATATCTTAAACTGTTACTGTTCACTGCTGTGCTCAACAATAGTGCAATACAATATTAAAAATTCAGAATTCAATAATGAATAGAATAAATCTTGATAATTCAAGATGTTTCAGGGAGCAGGTCGACGCACACAGAGCGCCATGATAAAGCACATGAAACGCCATGTGTGTGTTTATTAAAACATGTTATATGCGAAATAAATTAGATTTTTTTTGATAGGCTATAAATGATACTGTATTAGCTATCACTAATAAGTAGGCTAATATGCAAAGAAAATCTGCTATTCAAAAATTTGTTTGTTAGTTATAAAAAAATATTAATGTCCATATTGGCTCTGGTGCATTAAATAATAATAACAACATTAAGATTTTTTTTTAAATGACAAATTATAGAAAATAGTATGGAATGTTGAAATTCTTTAAAGGTATCATCTTAAGGTTGTAAATTCCAACACTAAAGTTAAAACATATTTATTTTTTATAATTCAGCTTTTGCTGTACAAATGATTAAATGTTTTAGGGAATAAAAAGTTTTATATTGTTTGTCAACTCTGTCATGGATGACTTTAGTAATGTTTAGAAATAATAATAAATCATAGCAAGAAAAATCGTAATATTTAGTTACTAAATTTAAACTGAATTGACAGTAATTTAGTTTTACAACTTTTTAGCAAAACCTTTTACTTGCTATAACTGCAAAGATCACATGATACTAATGAAATCAGGCTTAAAATATTTTTTTATTTGTAAAATATGTGATTAATGAAATATTCAGTTTTCCTTTTGTAATTGTGATAATAATAGCATTGACAGTTTACAGTTTAAACATTTAAAATTAAAATATTGGTGAATTTTTCTTTAAAGAAAAGCAAAATAAATTATTTTTGCATGATGGAAATATGTACTGGCTAATTTGTAAATCAAGAAATCGTGATTTTTGGTAATGTGATCTTTGAAAATGATGAACACATTTTATAAATAAATAATCAAAAATGTAACAATTTTTTTTAAAAGCTGAAAAAAGGATGGCTTTGGTCACTAAATGTACCTGCAACTACAGAATCACCCATATAGTTCATGGAGAGCAACATGTTTTTCTGGAGTTTTCTTGCAAAACTTGGAAACATCACGTAAGCAAGCAAACAGTGACATAAATAGAATCTGCAGTACAAATACTAGTTTTAAAATAAAAGTTAGTTTGCTTTATCAGAATGACAGAGAATACTATAAATATATATATATATAAATACTATATATATAATTTGTTTATTTTTTTAATTTGCCCACCTTAAAGTTCCAAGCTGGAGCCGGGCCTGATGACAGAGGTGATTTATTCTAGTCTCTATGTTACAGGGAGGCTTTTATTGAGTACAGTACAGAAAATAAAAAAACATATTTTACATTTGCTATTTATTATTATTATTAGTTATTGTATTTTCAAACAGTGATTACATCAGCTTTCTGATTAATGTTGTGTGTGTGCTTTTTCTGCAGAGCTGTTGTGATAGAGCTGGACCTGTAGACAAGGGAACTAACACATTTGAGGAAAAAAGAATCCAAAATAAGAGGTAGGATAATTTTATTACTAGCTCTACAGAAATCAAATGACACATTGTACAGTAAAATGACATTGTTTTTTGAATGTTTTTTATGTTTTGTTTGATCTGAAATATCTGCAGATTGGTGTGTGTGGTGAGGGTAAAGAAGTCCACATGCAGCAGCATCTTGGAAATGCTGTAATGCAGGGGTGCCCAAACTCAGTTCTGGACAGCTGGTGTCCTGCAGAGTTTAGAGTCAACTTCAACTAAACTCTGCAAGACAGCAGCAGTTCTAGACTGAGTTTAGCCACTCCTGTTCTCCTGTAGTGAACTGAACGAGACCCTGCATCAGTCCACATGCCCTTGTGTCCTCATCTGGACCAGATGTTGCTGTGGTCTCTTCATCATCCGTATCTCGGGCATGGACTGCCATGCATCACCGTCCTGTTTCAGTCTGACTGCAGCAATGAGGGATGTGATGATGGCGAAGTCCCTCTGATCATCTGAAGAACTGGCCCAGCTGTGTGGAGATACAGCAAAACATGGGCTTCTGTCTGTAATACATCACTGTTAGAATAAAGCTTGGTTTCATGTGTTGGTGACTTGTATTTATTTGTCATGATTACTCATATTCATTCTTTTAATAATATAATTATGTTTCTGTTTGTTTTCAATAAATAATGATAATACTTTCAATATTGTATGAATTTCCATTGTTTAACAGAAATGTAAGAAAATAAGATGCATTGTCTAGTGACTACTAGTAGATTTACTTAGTTAATTGTCCACATTTATCATTACTAGCAATACATTCTTGGTAAAAATGTTAAGTAAACATACATTTTTTGGAGTGTAAAATGAATCATAAAACATGGTAGCGTTAGTTATTAAGGTAAAGATGGTTTATATTTGCATTTAAACATTTTAATGGTCCCTATATTGTTTACCATGGTACTTTAAATATTTGGTCTGAATGACTTCAAAACAACATTAGAACTAATATTTATTTGACTGTGGACAGTGCTGTATTTTGATAGTCATTGGCTGCTAATATGATTTCCCTATATAGAATTTGAAAATCTTTTTCTGAAATTAAATTATTAAGAAGAAAGTCAGAATGTGCAACTATAAAACCAACTTCACCTCAATGCATTGGATGCACCCTGGTCTGCCATTTTTCTAAAATAAATATAGCTTATGAATTAAATAGTTTGATCATATTATGTGATAAGACTAAATAGCAAACATGACATTAGGGCAAGCAAGCCAAGTTACCTTTCGTAAAACAAGAATTGTTATCCTAGGTATGAATACTGATCACTAACATAGTTATATTTAAACTAACATCAAACTGTACAACTATAAGTGGTTTTAAAAAATGAAGCAATGAAAACGTACCTTAATTGTATTGCTGCTTTCAGGATGTCATCGATTCAGCTCTGCAGAAAAAGCACACACACACCAGTAATCAGAAAGCTAATGTAAACACTGTTTGAAAATACAATAACTAATAATAAATAGCAAATGTAAAATATGTTTTTGTAGTTTCTGTACTGTACTCAATAAAAGCCTCCCTGTAACATAAAGACTAAAATAAATCACCTCTGATTCACATGCTCAAATAACATGTTGGTGTAGTTGCTGATGTAACACAAACCTTACTCAAGTGATCAACTATATACTGATGCACAGATTAAACAAATGACCCTTTATTCTCTTTTAGTAAGAATACATGTATCTAATTTAAACAGTATTGGCAACAGTCAATTGACAGCAGATTCTACATCAGCACAAATACATCACTCACTCAGATGTCTGTTTAGTCTTGTGATCTGCAATACTTCACATTTTTCTGTCAGACATTTGATAATAATCTTTTTTACCTTTGAAACGTTACTTTATATGTGCTGACTGGAGACCGTAACATTACACAGTCAACATTTACAGCGAAATAAAATAGACTATAATTTAAAGCCTCTTTACACCCTCAGCAATTCTACAGTGCACTGTACAGTAGCTCAACAAATACGAGTTTAACACAAAGAACTGTCTTTGGTTTAATACTCACATTTCAAACTGACCGCGTCCTCTTCCTCCTTCAGGCCGTAGGCTGCGGCTTCCTGGAGTAGAAAGGCATCCACCTGGCGTACTTTTTATGGTTACTAAAGTTTCAAACCTACTCCTTTTCTTAAGGCATGTTTGCTCTTACTATGAAATAATTAAGCAGGCATTTTTGAACGCAAATCAGGTATAGATGCAGCGAATCTCGCAAAGGGGGTTTCGGTTTCGACGTTCTTTTTTTTTTTTTTTTTTTTTTTTTTTTTTTTTTATTATTGAACAACAAATATACAATTTTAACATGACATCCAAAATTCAAAGTAACTAATAACAAATTAAAATAAATTACATAAATTAAACAAATGAAACAGACAATACAACATAGAGGTCTTTACAATGATAATATTTTAACTTAACCAATTAACAGCAAGAGTACTAATCAATTAACTTAAGCTCCTTTGCCACAATAATTGTATTTATACATTTTTCGCTCTTAATATATTGGAGCGATTCTATATACAAATGAAAGTCTGCAATAGCGACCTTTAAACAAGGTTTAGAGTTATTTAACCTGCATTTATGAATATGAAATTTACCGAACAAAATTAAAAGATTCAATAAAAATTCCACAGATAAATTGTTTGAAACAAAATAAAAAATAACGTCTTTTGGGGTCAAATTGCAACTAAAACCTGATTTTTTTTTGACATATAATGATAGATCTTCCCAAAATTTTTTTGAATATTCACAGTCATAAAAAAGATGAATCAACGTCTCTGGGTGATGTAAACAAAATGAACAGTTTCCATCCGTCTGCGTAAATTTAGTTAATGTTTGATTACAAACATAAATGTTATGTAAAATTTTTAAATGTAATTCCCTGTACTTGTTACCTAAGCAAAATCGGTTTCGACGTTCAGCCTCCGCAGCGCTAGAGCGGTGACGTCATGCCCCATCCCCTATTGGCTGAATTTCTCTGAGAGCCCCGTTTTGGTTGGCAGATACACAAGTAACTTTTGCACCAAATGTCACAGTGATGTTTGGTGCAGAAGAGCGAGAGAGCGAAATGTAGATTTGCAAGTGAAAAACAGCGCTTGAGACTCGTAGCGGCAGATTTGAGCAGTTGCAGGAACATATTTGTGTTCGTGCTTAGAAAAAAAATAATCAAACATTCTACACACGTTCAGCTCTCTTTGTGCGGATGCACATTCTAATCTACAGATGTGCAAGTTTTGTCTGTGACTTCACATTTCTGGATGCAGGTGTGTGAATGTGTTTTGCACCATATTCACTGCAACAATAGTAGCAAAGAACATGAGCGGATGAGTTTCTGCATTTGTGATTCGTCCGATGGGATTTGTGCACCTGTACTGAAGAATTTGTGCAGGTGTAAATGTTGCGTTGTGTTTGTTGGAGACAAAAAATACCTACACATTTGCAAATTTGCTCTGCGAGTACAAATTTACTGATACGCATTTGCAAATTTGCTCTGCGAGTACAAATTTACTGATACACATGTGTGGCTATTTTTTACAACTACAAATGACACTTTTACAGCTGCTTGGGAGTTTTGCACCAAAAATACCTTCATAGAGCACATGTCACTCCGCTGCTCATCCGTTTGCACTGGCTGCCAGTTGCTGCTCGCATCAAATTCAAAGATCTGATGTTTGCCTACAAAGCGACTTCTGGCCTTGCTCCTTCTTATCTGCTCTCACTTCTGCAGATGTATGTGCCCTCCAGAAACTTGCGTTCTGTGAATAAACGTCGCCTCGTGGTTCCATCCCAAAGAGGGAAGAAATCACTTTCGCGAACTCTCGCATTCAATCTGCCCAGTTGGTGGAATGAACTCCCTAACTGCATCAGAACAGCAGAGTCACTCGCTGTCTTCAAGAAACCACTAAAAACTCAACTATTTAGTCTCCACTTCACTTCCTAATCTGCAAATGCCTCTCTGGATATACCACTAACTGTACTAAAACTGTTAACTAACTAACTGTTGCTCTTATAGTTGTGTAATTTGCTTCTTGTCCTCATTTGTAAGTCGCTTTGGATAAAAGCGTTTGCTAAATGACTAAATGTAAATGTAGAAGTAAAAATGCACAACTATGCACAAGGCAAGTGGCGTGGGTCAATGCGATCACACGACGCAGAAGTATGAATCAGCCTTTAGCCCAAATGTAGTTGGTCTCTACCCCCTTTCTCCCACTGCACCCCCGTTTTACCCTTAAATGCCTGTTCATTTAAGGCATCATATATTAAAAATCAAAACAAATATTTTAATAAAAAATAAATATATTAAGTAGCCTACCCAGCATAAAATAACAGTAGCTAGCAGGCCTTACTTATATATATATATATATATATATATATAAAAAATAGGTGGTTTTATACTTGATAAGAATGTTTATTGTTGTCAGACTCCACTTTCACATTAATAAACCTGAATGAATCAATCAACAAGTACTTTGTCAATTCATACAGAACTGTCAATGAAAAACTGAGGTAAATCTCAAATGAACCAAAGCAAGAAAGTCTGTCGTTTCTTGCGTGTGTAGTTATTTAAAGGGTCATGACACCCCCCATTTCGGTTCAGGTCCACCTCAGAATTTTGTCAAAAGATGCACCATAGTGGGCGTGGAGCTCCGCGAGCAAAGGGCAGGAGTGGGCGTGGCCAGCAGGGGAGAAGGAGGAGAGCGAGCAGCTGTTGTCAGTCGGCTCACAAAATGAGACACAAACCATGCTGAGACCCATGATTTTATAGTTTACAAAGGTAAAATGCAAAGAAATAAACAGTAATTTAACGCCCTGCTACATTTGTAATTTCATATACACACAACCACAATTTATATCATTAAAAAGATAATCGTGTTCATATAACCACTAAATCAGGACTTTTTTAGGTGAACACAGCAGCATGGCGATGTGTCTAAATGTGAACAAATTCCTGATAAAAGACAACTCCAATTCTCTTTCTGCTCTCCTGACAAAAATGCTAGCAGCACACACACAGCTTTGCTGTATCGGCCCTGACAGGATTGCGGGGAAAAACATGCAACAAACCCCGTGGATCATGGAAACAAACACATACAAGCCTTCATGAAGGACTAAATACTCTGTGCCGTGGGTCCGCGGACGCGTCTCACCCACATTTCACAGCTGAGCTTGGCACTGGCAGCCAGGTCTGCTTTGTCTTCGGAAAGCACGTGCTCTCATGAATATTTAAGAAGCCGGCTCTTCTCATAGGATAAGAAAACTCAGCTATGAATAATAATGAGATACCGATGCGTCATCTTTGCACTTGCAGTACTGCGCTACGTCGCCGATTTTGATCTGCCCCAAAAATCATTTTAAACCCGGAAAAAGCTCAGAGTTATACAGTTTTCCCCAAAATTACAGCTAACAGGTGCTAACATTGTCTTAACTGATGCTCAACACACACAAATCTGTTAAAATCTCACAAAAAAAGTACTTGAGGGATTTGTGAACCTTTACAATAGCATCCCAAGGTTCTCCTCAGAATATTCAACAAGCTTACTTTAATAAGAAATTAATAACAAATGATAACAAACAAAAACAAAGTGAAATAGCAAATATACTACTGAAAATGGTAGCAGATTGTAAAAAATATAAATGTTTACATGCAACAAGTTTTGACTTCCTAAACAGCAGGCTTGAGTCTATAAATCAGTAGCCTGTCTAAGACAGTAGATGTAAGTTGTTGGTGTTGCTGAGCAGAACAATGACTCCCGAGTGAGCATACAGAGAGTTAGTTTAACCTGTAAGACCAGATATTATCAGTGCAGAAAATACAGTACATCTCCCTCTAATGGTTGAGAGACAAAGCCTTAATTACAGAGTCACTGCTTCTGACATTTGCAGCTCATTGTGGTTTGTGTCCCACCCATATAATCTGCTCTGAGATCAGTGTTTTCGGTGTGTTCAGATGTAAGAGGTGTCACGGGCGTGTCAGCATGCTGGTATTTTACTGAAACACACACACACATACATAATGACTGACAGACATACACATACAGAATACACACACAAAAATAGACACACAATCAAATATTTACAAAAAAAAAAAAATATATATATATATATATATATATATATATATATATATATATATATATATATATATATATATATATATAGTGCTGTCAAACAATTAATCACGATCAATCATATCCAAAATAAAAGCTAATTTTTATAAACTATGTTGTAAAAGTGCGTAGAGTGTATATTTCTTTTGTTTATTTTTGTATTTCATATAAATATGTGTGTATTTACACATATATACATAAATATACACAGTACACACATATATATTCTATAAATATAAACCTTTATCTTGGATGCTTTTAATTACTATTAACAATTGTTTGACAGCACTAATATATATATATATATATATATATATATATATACATATATATATATATATATATATATATATATATATATAAATCTAAATAATAATAAATCTAAAAAATATTTAACGATTATTTAATATTTTAAGGAAATATGCAACAGATATTACACAGAAACATTTTACTATATAGTGCGTGAAAATGTATTTAATTTCTTATTTTGTTCTGCATGCTGGTCTCACTTTAATGTTTCAGATCATAACCTAATAATTTAGATATTATTCAGACACACAGTAACACAAGTAAACACATCATGCTGTTTTTAAATGGGATTATTATTAAGGGAAAACAAAAAACAAACCAAAATACAAAAAATTCCTGTGTAAGGGGGCAAATATTTTTTCATGCCACTGTATATTCACAGAAAATAGTTAGATTTATTTTAATGCAATGTAATGTAATGTGCTTTTAAACAGACTTAAACACATATACAAAAGTCTCATTACACTAATGGCCATGTTCCGCTGCTGAATTAGTCAGTCCTGACCTCTAAAACACAACCGAGTTGAGAAATCTGGATTTGCTGGATTTGCTTTTCTTGTACAAAGCCTGTGTGTGTTTGACTCTAATTAAGCCTTAGTCCATAAGTCCATATGAACAACGTGTTCATGAACACTGCAGGAAACTATATCTGTTAAGCATGTTACACATACATAATAAATGTGATGAGACTGATGTTAAAACTTCTCTGTTTCCACAGAAGAGCAACAATGCCTGACACAAACTTAATTAAATACAATATATGCTTAATTGTATTATTAACAGTATATGTTATCTAATATTGTAACGCCTCGCCAG